TCAATACTTGTATATCTCACGAAGTTCGACGGAACGATGTGACAAAGTTCCGACCGGATTTGCTTAGTTACGTCCTGCAATTATCTGATGGGCGTTTCTGTTCACCAATCTACAGTCCAATTTGTCATGCACTTAAGTTACTCCCCGCTAGACACACACACACACAAACGGAGACACTGCCAATCACACAAAAACGAAGCGGTTACAAGTGAATAATTGTTCCTGGTACGAATTCTTGCGAGCAACGTTTCCGGATAAAGATGATAGCATCCAGATATTGAAATGTGGGTCGAGGCTCTGTGTGTGTGTGTGTATGCGTGTGTTGGAGGGGTGGCGTAGATCAGCGCTGACGATTACGGAATCTATGCACCGATAACATAATTACACCAGTCAAATTATTCATATAATTTGTGCCCCATAAGGCCCGCACAGATTCACTCGATAAAGTTGCATCCTAACCCAGGATTAACAATACCTGCTGGATGCCATCACAGCTTGCTGGCTGACACTTGATACACCCAAGTACCAGTGACGGATGGATCGATGTCATACAGTTTTGAACTGAAGCAAGCTGCCGAACGCCGGCTCCAAGTGCTTGGACCGGATACCCAGTGAATTCACGCGGACCAAACAGCTGTACCATTCTCCCAAAGCTTTTCAGTGATGCGCTATCAATTGTTTAACCGTGAGGAAATACAAATCTGATGAGCTGCGGGACACTTCGAGAAGTGGGAGTTTGTGTTTCCCGCGCCATACCTCCCGGATGTGAATCGAGTTCTCTTTGACGATAATGTATTCCTCAGGAAACAGTCTCATTTCGATCCTGACTAAATGGCTAGATCACATTTACAGTTCCCCTTACTTATGCACGACTAAACAGTGTGCAGCGGCAAACTAGAAAGCTTTCGCTGAAGGGAACGGGTTGTACAGTTGAAGGATTAATACAAAGCCTAAGGCTGATGTTGAATGAATGTATGTATGTGTTCAGTTGTAAGCGTCGCTCTACTTTAGATGCGGTTGCTCGTCTTATACATTCTATTTTATTCACTGTAGACCAAAAACACAAAATTATTCACGTTTGTTTCTTGGACTACACAAACGCGTTCAACTCTGTCGACAGAAACAACCTATTAACACTGTTACGACGAAATAATCTTCCGCCACATCTTTGGAATTTAACCGACCAACGTCAATTCACTTGTCTCAGTGGTATTATGTCTTCTACTGTTACTGTAAACCTGGATGCAATGCAGGGTGCAGTTTTATCCCCTTTTCTGTTCTCCTTTTATATCCAAAATTTGCCACTCACACCACATGTTTCCACTTTTAAAAATGCTGTGATATAGTAGTTAGTGGAGCATCCCACAACAACAAACCAAATAACCCCATTCAATCAGTCATAAGTTCCATTGCTGAATGGCCCGATGATGTTAACCTTTCTTTAAACCCCAATAAATGCATTAATGTTTTGTTTTCCATTGACCGTAGGCCATCAACTCTTTCTGGATCATCTGTTCCCAATATCTTGATCAATAACTTAAAAGTTGAAAGGGCTAGGCGTTGCACTCTTTCTAATCATGCTACATCCCTCCTGTAATACGGTGCCCATACCTGCACACAATACTTCATGTATGGGCGAACAATCGATTTGTATAGCAGGACGAAAACCACAGGTCGTCTGCATGTGACTGTGGCACACAACCTGAACAGCTGCCCCTAGCCTGATTGGTAGCCTTTGAGCACTGAGTAGTGGGTTTACAGTCTTGGGTCATAAGGACCCCTAGATCCTTCATCTGCGAAGCCACCTCCAGATTGCTGCTGCTGGTTCCTAACAGAAAACCAGCGATCACATGGCGTTGTGTGATTCATTCCTATTACATAGAGATTGGTTTTACGAGGAAGCAGGTAGGAGTTTCACTCTGGCCGAACTGGCAAATATGCACCACTCTGTTGGAGTGAAAGCGGATTCCGGTGCTTCTTATACATTATTCAAGTGAGTAATGGAGGATTTGATTCAATTTCAGAGGTGAATTCGTCGTGTATATTAAGCAAATTAAGCGTAAAATGAAAAGCTAGGAAGCACTGGACAGCTGTTTCGACCTGAATGGGTCTCATCAGCAGTGCGAATCCATCAACCAAACTGGGGATCGAACTCGGGACCTCACATTTAGAACGCAAGCGTACTACTCAATCGGCCATCGGGCAGCGGATCAGACCTTTTTTCATTTTCCATTTACACGATATAGCACAAACCATTTTTACGAGCTTGTTGCGAGCCACAGAACTCGCTCATCTCGGCACTAGCCTCCGGGGTTATGCCTGAAGATGAATGTTAAAGATCGATGGATGTATATAGAAATTTGAGTGTGCAGCGCGCATACACTGCACAAGATGGTTCTTATAAATAAGTGAAGCACTAACCGTATCATGAATTTGTGAACGCATGCACTTTTGATCTATATGTTTTTACATTTTAACATCTCAATTCAGAATCACTTGGTCAAAAATTGACATGCTTCACACGGGTCACGGAGGTCACGAGTGTGCGTGCGCGTGTTTCAACGAAGTGAATGCCGCGAGCAAGCGCACGCGCGCACCCATACAGCGACAAATCGATGCACGAAAACCTTGCACCTTTCTGCAACAAGGCGAGCAAAATTGTGGTGGCAGTGGTCAAGGCGCTGAAGTAAATTTCACTGTCTTGCTTTTGGCTCTACGTTTTTTATCCCGCGGGAATGCCATTCAACTATAGTGGTGACGTAGCTTCGACGTTCGGGGTCGAGTTCAATACAGTACCTATCCCAGTGACGTCTTATGTGGTTCACCACTCCAAGCATCGAGGTTTTCATTGCCGGCGATTTTGATTTAAATATAAGAACGAATAGAGACCACTGGCACGCGAAAAATCAATTACCATTAATATAAGCCCGATTCTTAGCCATTCCTC